TTATTTTTATTAAACAACTTAATTCCTAAAGAAAAAGATTAATAAATACAATTAAAGCAAAAAAAAAACATAAAATAAGTGATTTCATTTCATTTAATAAAAATGTGGTGTAATGATAACCCCGTATGAATGAGTTGACCATGTGTGTGTTCTACTGCGGTTCCTCAGTCTGTCAGAGAACCAGTCTCTGCTCAGGATGCCTCCCTGGGAGAACGTCTGGCTGCTGGGGGCCATCTGCCTCTCCATGTCCCTGCACTTCCTCATCCTCTACGTGGAGCCACTTCCTGTGAGTATCATAACAAAAACACACTTTATTCATGGTGCTGTCGTCTGAAAACACCTCTCAGGACGGAGTAGAAAGGAGAAATGTAACGTGATCATGTGTCTATCAAAATGTAGTTTTTCTCTCAAGTATCAACTAGATACTTGCCTCTACTCTGACATGTTTACATGCTTTAATATTCAAAAAGTGCTGTAGTTCCTTTATAGCCCAACGTTAGCCACCTTTAGCTTAGCGGAGGTGACGTGAAGTCATGTGACCGTGCTGTAGTTCCTTTATAGCCCAACATTAGCCACCTTTAGCTTAGCGGTGGTGACGTGAAGTCATGTGACCGTGCTGTAGTTCCTTTATAGCCCAACATTAGCCACCTTTAGCTTAGTGGTGGTGACGTGAAGTCATGTGACCGTGCTGTAGTTCCTTTATAGCCCAACATTAGCCGCCTTTAGCTTAGTGGTGGTGACGTGAAGTCATGTGACCGTGCTGTAGTTCCTTTATAGCCCAACATTAGCCTCCTTTAGCTTAGCGGTGGGGAAGTGAAGTCATGTGACCGTGCTGTAGTTCCTTTATAGCCCAACATTAGCCACCTTTAGCTTAGCGGTGGGGAAGTGAAGTCATGTGACCGTGCTGTAGTTCCTTTATAGCCCAACATTAGCCACCTTTAGCTTAGCGGTGGGGAAGTGAAGTCATGTGACCGTGCTGTAGTTCCTTTATAGCCCAACATTAGCCACGTTTAGCTTAGCGGTGGTGACGTGAAGTCATGTGACCGTGCTGTAGTTCCTTTATAGCCCAACATTAGCCTCCTTTAGCTTAGCGGTAGTGACGTGAAGTCATGTGACCGTGCTGTAGTTCCTTTATAGCCCAACATTAGCCACCTTTAGCTTAGCGGTGATGACGTGAAGTCATGTGACCGTGCTGTAGTTCCTTTATTATAGCATAACATTATCTTTTCAACATAAAGTGGTGGAGATTAAACGTGTAAGAATCATAAACGTTTGTATTTTCTGCAATAATCCAAAATCACATGGAGAAATCCCATTGGACCAGGGAGATGCTGCCTTCAGGGTCCACTACCAAAATACATAATTCCTTTAGCTCTCTATATCTATATCTAGATAATCTTGTTATAAATATCAGTATTACCCGCTGATGAATATCTCCCTCTTCCTCCCTCAGGTCATCTTCCAGATCACGCCTCTGGACACCACCCAGTGGATGATGGTGCTGAAGATCTCTCTCCCCGTCATCCTATTGGACGAGGTGTTGAAGTTCGTTGCCAGGAACTTTCTGGACTTCGGTAACGAGCGCACGGAGAAGCCAACCCCCCGCTCCGGCTGCTCCCTCGCATGTTTGGAGGGGATCTCGTGGCCTTTTGTGTTCGTGTCTCTGCCGCTGGTTCTGTGGATCTACAGCTTCGACACTAACGTGACCGCCATGCTGTGGCCCTGACTCACTCCACTACCCCCCTCCCCTCTGAGCACAGTGTGACGTGGACATTAACACACACATCTAACACACATTACATTATAGAGCCTTTTGTATTTAGGACATTCTCACCGATACATGTTTCTGGGCGGGGCGGGGTCATATTTAACGACTGGTATTTTATTTAGGGCTGGGCAATCTAAAAATCTAATATCACGCAGAGAGAAGGGGAGAAAAAAAATGTATGATAAATGTTGATTTACTTATTCGTTTTCCAGTGGTGCTGCACTCTAGTGGCCGAAATGGGTATAACAACAACAAACATAAAATTGCCTAAAAAAAACCCGTACAATTTAAACAGATAACAGAAATAAATATTAATTTAGAAAAAAGGTTACAGCTAAACCCGACTCCTCTACTAATTAGCATATCAAAATTGTGGCTGTAAAAAAAAGAAATACCAATTTTAGAAGTGTAAAAGATAATAGAAAGAAATGAAATTTAGAAATATATTCCAAACTTTTTTTATTTAAGTTTTTCAGGAAAAGATTGCCTGAGAAAAAAACTATTTTAACAATAAATAAATATTTAAAAATACATTTGAAAAAACATTACTAGCAAAACTTTTTTTTTTATGAAAAATTCATAAACGAAAAAAATGATTCTTGTATTTTTCACCAGGTTTTGATATGGCGATGATATCGTTGGGTTGACTAACGGTATTTTCACAATTATATTGACCTAGTAGGTAAAGATGTGTAATATTACTACAAATTGACATCACTTTACTGTAAAGCCGTCTTTAAAACCAGGAAAAAACCCTTAAAATTATCCAATATCCACATTTTCAGACAGCATTGTGATCATGATATAATATGTATTTATTGCCCAGCCCTAACTTTATTTCACCGTCACGCTTCACTCTGTTTTAAAGAAAGCCCACCGTGTCGGAGCTGTGTCGAGCTGTACAGAGAATTTACACTATTTTATGATAATTAATATTTTGTAATTTTTTTGGGAGGGGTTTTTGGGGACATGAATGCTGGGTGTGAAGAGGATGTAAAAGACGGTATAATTCTAGTTTTTTGGGGCGAAGACCTGAGTGTTTTTTCGCCCCGCCGTTAATCTATTTTGAGCTCCGTGCGTCGCAGCTACCTCAACGCTGTCATCATTAAAACCATCTGTCTTAACATTCATTTCATAAAAATATCATTCAAAGTGTTGAGGTAAGCGCCGATTAGTTTTGCAGCCCTCGAACATTATTTTTTAAAAGTATATATATATATTTCCTTTCTGTCGGAGGATAAAGATATGTTACCAGTTTGATTCTTTTTTGATAAAGTTGTTAAATTTGTTTACTTGAAGAAAAACCTTCGTCTTAATTTTTTTTTTTGCATTTTAATTAATCTTAATAATGTATAATGTGCACATACTGTACTTGAATATGTAAAAAGGCACCAAGAAGCTGTTAGTCTTATCAACTGAGCACAACATGGAGGAGTCTGTAAATCTGTACATAGCACACAAAGTAGAATCTCTGTATAGATTTTGTGGTTGAAATGCTTCATATTTTACATGGTTTTATTCAGCGTGTCTTACTCTTCCTGCATGCCTGCTCCAATAACTCCAGGCCAGTGAGGTGGTTTTTTTTTATAGTCTTAAAGATAACTGTTGTTTCTTCCAATGCCTTCCACCTGTTAACCTGCAGAGTGAGTACACTTTGAGCTGCATGCTAACACACTTCACACTCAGCTTTACCTGCTGTCTGACTGCGGAAAGAGGGAAAAGCGTTTTTTCTGCACTGTGTTTAAGACTTTAAGAAAAAAGGGTTTTGCCAGGATAATATTCCAAATTTAAATGTTTTTTTAGCCACATTTTGCCAGGATTATTTTTCTAAAACGTTCTAAGTTTTTTTATTTTTCAGGATATTTTTACATTTCATTTGTGAAATTTGAATTTATTTGGTCATTTGGGTAATTTAATTTATTTTTGCCAGGTTTATAAGTTTGTCCACGTCTTAATATATTTGTCAAGTACATTTGATATGTATTACACTTTTTTTAATCCAACAAAACAGCAGTTTTTTTGCAGGCTGTGTGTTGCTGTAATACTCATTTAAACCACCAGGGTTCACCAAATCCCATGCAATAAAAAAGAAATTGCAACTTTTTAAAACTTATTATCATAGATGAAAATAAGAATAACTTAAACAACATCCTGGCGAAACGTTTCTTTTTATCCTCTAAAATTATTATTTTTTACCCATTTTTAAATAAAGGCACTTAAACACAGTGGAAAAAACACTTATAATTGATCATAAAAAGCAAAACCCTCTCTTGCCTCTCAGGCTTCCGTACATTGCTCACACTAAAGCAGCAGCAATGACAGCTTCTCATGTTTTGATTGGACTAGCAGTTTTGTTGTTATTAAACACACTTTTTAACGGTACAAGAGGCCTTCAAAGTGCCAGGTACACTGGGTGGAAATAAGCGGCACAGTACTGGTTATTTCTGACACCATCACAGGACATGGTGTTGATGTTTATTTTATTTATACATGTCTTTTTTTAATCTCATTTGTCTTTTTGACATAATCTCCTGCATGGCCTTAATATGTTTTTATTAAAACAAGTACTGATGAATTGAACTGATTTGCTGCTCGGATGCTTCGGCCTGTGTTTCTTGTCTCCACTGATTTTATTCTTCCTCTCTTCTTCTTCCTCTTCCTCTTCCTCCACAGCAAAGGCCAAGTAAGCCCACCTCGACTCTAAATGCCTCGCAGAATCCTTGTTTTTCTTTTGTGTCGTGCATGTGTGTTTTGGGCAGCACATCTTACAAAGAGCTGCATGTCAGTAAAGTAATCTGAAGACAAAGAAGCTCAGAAACGTACATTTCTTTGTATAGAAGTTCCTCCATCCTCCTGCATGCAGAGCCTCAGATTCTCATCTTTTTTAGACGAATATCTTAGTACCGTGTACAGAAACGTGTGTTATTCCACGGTGCATGCTCGCTCTGCAGACATCTGTTCCTCCACTCTGTGTGATAGTCAATGTATAGTATTGGTAAATAGTACAAATGTTAAATAAGCTCAAAATTCATCTTTCCTAAGGAAATACTTTTATGGAATATTTCAACATAAAACATCCTCTTTTCTGGTTTCTTTGCACTGAGACGTGCGACGTGTTTGAGTCGTGTTAACGGCAGGCAGTCCTTTTACTGCTGTACTGTATTTACAGAGATGATTGTATCACATGAACTTTGGTTTCAGGTCAATAAAACTGTCATACATGAAGAGTTTACTCACCGCTCGTCCTGAGTTATTGAGATTCATTTAAAGGTCACCTATCATGCTATTTTTAGGCAATAGCATAGGTCTCAGATATATACAAATATATAAAAAACATGTCTATGAAGTGTTTTGCTCAAAATACCAAACAGATCACCCATTCTAGCCATGCCTCATATCCCTCTATTTCACTTCCTGTTTCAAAAGTGCTGATTTGGGGTATAAAGCTTTAAAAAATCAAAAAGGAGGGGGCTGAGCTCATGCGGGACCCAGCAGCTACTGTCTAAACTAAATACTGCTGTGATGAAACGCCATATCATGGATTATCAAGGATTATCTCTGAAACAGTATGGAGCTCAAAGGCTTTCTCTCTTGCCGGTTATACCACAAGGTGAGTTCCTTTTTATTTCCTGCTGCTTCACACACATGCTCTCCAGTACAGGTTAGCTCTGAGTGTTAGCGATGCTAATGTAAACACCGACCATATTACGTCCAAAACAGTCGGGCATTGTTTCTGATAGCAACGTTTCTGATAGGGCCGTGGGTCCATATTTCAGCTATTACGTCATATCGGACGCAAATCTGGATCAGCTCCATTGTAGCCCCGTTTTTAGAGATTTGGGTACGGAGGAAAAGAGAGGGTTTTATTTTCTGACGCTGCGTGAGTTCCCTGACACACCGGGGACACATATTTATGTATACAAGACATCAAAAAGTGCATTTTGCATGATAGGTCCCCTTTAAAACAATTTTCTTAACATTTTCTGTCCACAACGGCACATTTACCAAACACATGGAGGGTTTAAAGGGCCAAACTAAATACAGAAATGCTTGCATAAATTAACAAATACTTATGTTATTTAATGCTAAATTGTCCCCCTAGATAAAGAGATAAATATAATAATATGACATGGATATATTAACACCTATTTACTATGATTTATTTATTTGTATATTATTTAATATTTATTTATCCACACATTTATTTAAAATGTTCCCCTGGCTTTTGTGGATAAATGAAACAATATAAAAATAAATAAAATGATAAATAGATGGTACAAAATAAATGTAAATATAGTTATATATTTAACTTCATTAGTCTCAGATCACTTCCACATGTTCTCCATCAGCTTCGTACGGCACCTTGGACATAACACAAGAAGAACATCCTGTTTTTGTTTTTGAAAGACAAACCTTTATTAATGATCCAAACATTTCATTTGATCACACATCCCATCAGTAAAGTCTGTTCAATGATTTCATGATCAGTTTCACTTTATCCACACCATGAATGTGTTTCATCTCAGCTATTTCAAACAGAATCACACATGATTTCCTTATTGATTATTATCATAAGTTATGTTCTATAAAACATCAGAGTACCCACTTTCTATTTGGACAACAACAACAACAACAATTAGTCTGCAAAACAATAACTGTAATATTATACAATGTATTTCCCAAGCAAAGACTCTAAGCTATTTACAGGAGAATAATAAATGATGTACTTATTGATTATGATCATGACAGTAAGTAATATCATTTTAAATAAACATGTTATGATGAAATAAGTGTTATAACCATCTGGGAACTCATTTGTTAGTTAATTTGGGCAACAATAACATTTAATCTGTCAGAATAATACATGTGATTATAAATGTCTCTCTTGTTTTAGAAAGTGGGCAGAATAAAATGTGTACAATAAAAGAAGCTCTGCTGCTTTCTCTCTGAAGACTCGTGCATTACAAGAGAAACAACAACATGAATCAAAAGAAATATCCAACACATATTTAGAGCAAAGTTTACATATCAGTTCAGGTGAACAAGGATCCTCCTGAGCAGTGACAGCCTCCATGGCTACACAGACACAGGAAGGAGCCGGAAGAAAGTCCAACATCTACAGAACAACTCATGAGAAGATGTTGAAGCACATCCCATCATGTTTGATTGACAGCAGAGGCCTGTACTACGAAGCCGGTTCAACCTAACCTGGATATGTTGGAGTTAGCCGGTTGGCCCAATCCAAAACATACGCGCTGGCGCTAAACTGTACTACGACGCCGGTTATCAAGTGGATCGCTCAAGCCAGCCGTGTCCTATCTAGTTAGGTGCGCGTTCACATGAAAGGGGTGGTATTTGGAGCATTCGACCAATCTCAAACACGGACAAGCGTACTGACAGCGCAGCGTCATACTTCCTGAATGAAAAGTGAACTTTAATATTAGTCAAATATGAAGAAGTTAAACTTTAAACATCCATGTCTTAAACACTTTATCCAGGATAAAAGCCACATAGCTGCACCTGCAAGGTGAATACAGCTGGTAAAAGAAAAAGTGTTTGAATGCGTACATTAACAGGTTTATGATATCACTGCCCCGTCTAAGACACGAGTGGATCTGACTTTAATTAGGAGAATTTGACTCGAGTGTTTCGTCAACTTAATGTGTTGCTTAAAATAATACTTCTGCATACAGTATGTGACACTGTGAGTGTTGCACGGCCAGATACGGCTCAAGAAGCTGACTCAAATAAGGAAATTTATGATACATTATGATGTGATATGATATGAATGATAATGGGACACATCGACGTCTGCACTCACAGTGCCGCGGACTGTACTTAATGTTACTCTGATCCGGTTACTTATGTCGTGGCAGATATTTAAGTAAGCTTTCTTAACGCTAATATTATAATAGTCAGATTGCTCTGAAGATGGGAGGGGATATTCTATTAATTTTCACGTTCACACGGTCAGTTGATTTTTGCCGGCTGTCTTTCCTGCAACGGCAGTTTTTCTGTATTTCCTCTATCCTGTAATATGAATTGATAGCTTTAAACTCCGCACACACGGAGCTCTGATTGGTCAGCAGGCAGTGCTTTCACTGAGTTGATCTCTTAGCCTGCCACCTAACCTGCTCCGGAGCAGGTTTGCCGCTCAGCATAAGTTACCATGGAAATCTAACCTGCTAAAAAGAGAACCAGCGTCGTAGGACCGGAGAGCCCGAGATTTCCCTGAATTTAGCCGGCTAAGCGAAAATCCAGCTTCGTAGTACAGGCCTCTGATCTCTGCACAGTGAAGACATGGACAATCAGCTCTGATGGACACACGGTGAGTTCAAGAAGTAGAAGAGTTCCTCCAATGACTTCAGGCTATTTGAGTTTACAAAACTCAGCAGTGTCTCCATAACCACAAAGATAAACTCCAGCATGTAGCGGCTGAGTGAATGTGGTCTGGACTCTGTGGAGGAGAGTCATGGTTTCAGAGACGCTGTAGAAGGACAGAATACCTGCTCTGTGATCCAGGTACACTCCTACTCTGGAGGACTGAGGACCTGAGACGGGAGTGTCGATAATGTTGTAACTAAATGAATAACTGTTTTGGTTACAAACTAAGGACCAAGATTTGTCATTGTCTCCAAATAAACTTTCCCCCCCTGCTCTGATGATATTCTTGTATGCGACTGCTACATCAACTCCTTCCCCTCTCCTCTCCACCTCCCAGTAACAACGTCCAGTCAGACTCTCTCTACTCAGGACCTGAGGATAATCAGTGAATCTGTCTGGGTGACTAGAATAAGACTGTTCTTGTTCCATGTATGTTGCTTTTCTGCTCCCCTCAGATAATACCAGCAGTGTGTGTGCTGTGTTTGGATCCAGTGTGATCTCCTGTGAATATGTTAAGAACCCAGCTCTGGTGGTGGGCTCTGCTGCTGACAGTAAAACCTCCACTTCAGTCGGTGAGACGTTTGTCCATTCCTCTCTCAGGACGTCCTGTAGTTTGTCTCTGACTGCTAACAGGGCCGCCGTCACGTCCTCAAAGTAGCTCAGAGGACGGATGTTGATGCTGGATGAGTGTGTAGGTTCACTGAGGGCTGACAGTGAGGGGTAGCTGTGCAGAAACTGGTTGTGATCCTCTGTGTGAGACAGCAGCTTCAGCTCAGCGTCTCTCCTCTTCAGCTCAGCCATCTCCTGCTCCAGCTTCTCCTGAAGCTCTTTGACTCGACTCACTTCTCTCTTCTGCTGGGATCTGAGCTGCTGCTTCACATCAGAGCTTCTTTTCCCCATGAGACGGATCAGCTCAGTGAACATCTTCTCACTGTCCTCCACTGCTTTATCAGCAGAGCCATTGACGGCCTCCACCTCCTGCTGAAGCAGCTTCACCTCCTTCTCTCCGTCCTGGATTCTCTGCTGGATGTTTAGTCGACTCCCCTCCAGCTCTCTCTGCCTCTCAGTCCTCTCTGCTGCAGCTGACACCGTGTCGTGGCCTTTGTGTTCGTCCACAGAGCAGAGAGAACAGATACACTGCTGATCAGTGCGGCAGAACATCTTCATCACCTCGTCGTGACGAGAGCAGATGTTCTCCTGGAGCTTCTTGGAGGGCTCCACCAGCTTGTGTTTTTTAAAGACAGGTGATTCATAATGAGGCTGGAGGTGTTGGTCACAGTAAGAGGCCAGACACACGAGGCAGGACTTACAGGCTCTCAGTTTCCTCCCAGTGCAGACATCACAGGCCACATCTTCAGCTCCAGCATAGCAGAAATCAGCAGGAGCAGGTGGGTGTCCAGTCTTCTTCAGCTCCTCCACTAAAGCTGCTAACATGGTGTTTTTCAGCAGGACAGGCCTCGGTGTGAAGCTCTGCCTACACTGAGGGCAGCTGTGGATCTTCTTCTCATCCTCTCCGTCCCAGAAGCCTTTAATACACTTCATGCAGTAGCTGTGTCCACAGGGAATAGTCACCGGATCCTTCAGTAGATCCAGACAGATCGAACAAGAGAAGGTTTCCCGGTCCAGCTGAACTCCTTTCTGCGCCATTTCACCTCTCAGTAGCAGCGAGTGTGTGAGTTTCACTTCCTGAGAGCTGGAACTATGTGAGAGGTTATCTGAACAGCAGGTGTGTGTGCAGTGAATGTGACCTATCAGCTCTTGTTCTTTACCCACATGTTGGTTACACCCCTCCTCCTCAGTGTGGATCTGAAGGGGAGGAGCCAGGAAACACAGAGTGGAGCTGGCTGT